AGCTATATAGTATATACTATATATAGCAAAAGTAAACGTTGCCAGCGCTCGACCAATTAATTAATAGTTAATTAAAATTAGTTTATGTAATTATAGAGCATGTGTTAATCGTTATATGATGAATGACTACGATAATGATCGCAATGATGATTATGACGATGTTGACGATGAACTAAATACAAATACAGTATCAAATGCCATAAACTCATGTGTCTTCTTCTTCTTCTCTCGCTCAGTTGTCATATACCCTAATGAATGTGAAACAGTAAGTATGCCACGCCCCCTAACCGATGAGTGGCGCCTTTTGTACTATGCATGTATGTATTGTACATACATATATCTTCCCTTTGAGTGCTCAAAGTGATGTCAATGATAATTATTGCCAGTCGTTTATTAAAGGGAATTAGCGATTTTTATAGCGCCAACGGCTAGGTAATTACTTTAATTGTGCCAGCCACTGTGACAGGACCAAAGACCATGGCCAAAGGACACCGAGAACGACGTCAGCATTCGCTCATAGGGTTCCGTGCTATTTGAGCATTTGATTGTTTTCCCTATTCCTATCTGTGCGCTGTGACACCATGTGAAATATTTATGTATATACGAACTAGTATATGAGCTTGATTGAGTAGATTGTCAGTTATTGATTGAGCATATGGAGTTTTTATTGAATTTACGATGAAGTGCCAAAGGATGTTTTTTTTTTATTATTAATTAAGCAGAGTTTAGCTAAACAGTTAAGCAAGTGAAATGGTATTTAAGCATAAAATAATACAGACAATAATATATGATTAATATAGTACACTTACTTTCAATTGACGTCACTGCCCCTCAATTTTTTGACAACCTCGTTTCCGCAACTAGATACGAAAATAGCTGTAATTTGATCTAAAACTTTTTTTGTGTGCTATTTTAAAAATATGTTTACATATTTTCGTGTCCATATCAATCATCTGCTAAAACACAATATTCTGATCAAATCGCAGAAAAAACAAAAAGTAAATAACAATTTTCACAAATTTTCAATGCTCATAGAAAATGCTCTATAGATATATGTATAAATTTTTATTATTATTAATTTCTATCGAAAATCAATTCTATTGCGCAAGATATATGTATTAAAAATTATATATAAAACGTTTCTAAATTGTCTTATATAAATTATTCAATTCCAGTTCAATACAATTTAGGTTAAGAGAGTTGTTGAAAATATTTTTTTAAATAGCTTTTAAATAACATATTTAAAAATGTTTTATAGTGTATGCGAGCAGTCGACACTTATATTGCTCGAGCCTTTTTTGTTTGCTTTGGGTTTTGGTTAGCAGCTAAAAAATCAAAAATAAAAATAAATCTGATAAGCGCAAATTACAAAGTAAACTCAACAACATGCAGGCGTACACTCACACACACACGCACATAGTTTACACACACACAAATTGCCATACTTCAAGCAGTTTCCCTATTAGTGTGTCTGTGTGTGTCATTAACGAGGTCATTGGTAAGTAAACTTGTTTGATGTGCTCGAGACATGTAATCCTGGCTGGCAACCCGAAAGTCAAACAATCGACAGCCGTTGCCTGTGCCTTTGCTAGTGCCAGTGCCAGTGTTGGTGCCTGGAGGCGTATTGGGCGTGGCAGTTGGCTGTTGGGCTCTTGGGCTCTTGGGCGTTGCGGAAGTTTTGGTTCATGCCACATTGCGTATACGCGACGCATGTTGGACACGTGGAAGCCATGTCAATTTGGACCAGCTGGGTCTGACTGCTAATGACATGCGACTGCTATGCAAATCAGGATACTTGGCGACGACTACTCAATTATACGCCACACATGCGCAGCCCACACATATACACAGCGAGCCACACACGCCAACTTACACACACCCACACACACACATGACAAGAACTTGCTGCTTGGCTACAAGAGAAAGCAAAAAATCGTTGCCTACTTTTAGGCACATAGTAAAAACACGCTGCGGTTCCGCTCGTTTGCAACCTTTCAGTGCCGCACATTGTCTTGCCAGGCGATGGTCGATGGTCGGTGGTCGATGGGGAGTGGGCTGTGGACTGTGGGGCGTGGCAAGTGATTTGGCAAACACATTTCAATTTGCGCATTGTTTGCCTTTCAGCTGTGCGGCTGTCCTTTGTGTGCCCTAAAACCTCATGGGAAACTTGCCAAAGAGTTTTGAGACGCCAACAGGTGTTCTAATTGTGTGGCCCGGCCCTCGCAATGAGTTTATTTTTAGTTGAAAGCCTTATTAAATTTTTAATTAGTGAAATTAGAGGGGCAGATGTGCGTGCGTCGGTGTGTTTGCAGCGCCCCGGCATTTGCCTGACAGGGGATTTGCTATAAAAGCAGTTAAAATGTTTATGAGCCCGGACAGCGTCTGACTTAACTTGTACGGTGGTCAGTGTCCTTTAACGTAGCTCTTAGGATTTGCTAACGTCATATGCCACAGCACAGGTGAGCCGTTACCCAACAGCCAACAGTCAAATAATTATGCCCTTGACATTCCCCTGCAAACCCAAAAATATAATGCCGAAAAATTGGGTTTATAGCATGAATAAGTGGTAGGTAAGGCCTTATTATCATGTAAATAGTTGGCATAATTTATTATGAAACAGGAAATTACATTGCGTGTTAGTAAATTAACAAGTTCTAGGTAGGAAAGAAAAGGGCTCTATGTAATATGGAAATGATTAAACATGCCGAGGAAAATCAAATAAACCTGCATAAAAGTTGCGATCGCTGATTGCGATTGCTGCTAAGTGCTTAAATAAGCGGACGCAAATTGAATATTTATGCAGGGTATTTAGGTGTAGAGTATGTTTAATAATTTAATTGTTAATGCAGTAAGCTTTTATTAATATTTTTATTTTTTTTTAATATGTATTGTTAAAATGTTAATTAAAATTAAATGTTAATTAAAATAAAATTAAAA